AAGTACGCGAAAAGTACGCGATGTCGTCGACGACATACTCGACCCCAAAGAGTTAAAAGCATATAACTAAGATCGGTGGATCTCATGGGAATATGGTCGATTTCTGATCCCCTCAAATTAACGTGATCGAGGCCGATCGATCGGTGCGCCGATCGATCGGTGCACCCCTAATTTTATGTGAACTACATGGTGTAAATGGTGACAGTTTTTTAAAGAAGCTAATGCAGTACCTTAGTCCCTTTGTTACTTGTCAAAAATGAGGTTGTTGAAATCCGATGAACCAAACAATACCTTGGTTTAGAATCTGCGACCCTGAACAGGGTAGGCATTCGGAAGACGGGTAATTGGATCTTTGTTTTCATACATAAGCAGAACCTGGCTTGGTGTTTGAGACTTACACTTTCCTATGCACTTGTAGTCATTCATGTACCAATAACAAATCAAGTTTCATTTATTTCAAAAGTTTGTGCGTGACAGTAAAATCTGAGCATATATTGCCTCTAGGGAGCAATTTCTATGAATTATGTACAAATCTACTTGTTACTTTGCTGAGATCCCCTATTTGCAATGACCCAGAAGGAGGTTGTGCCTCCAGAAATTATAATATGTGTCCCTTCCTTTCTAGCATCCATGTGGTACACAGAAAACTACATAAATTATCCTGCCCCAAACATTTTTTATTAATCGCATACTGTGCCAAGAATAAGGCTTACTTTATTCTTTATTCATCGTAATCATTCACTTATACAGTATATGTCAGTTTTGTCGTAATAAAAAATGAATTAATTTTTTCCCTAAAATTGTTATCCACTGGATAACAGAATAGATTAAATCTTTATGTCCTTAAAATGGTCAGACTGCCTGAAGCTCATCCTAATATGGTTACTCTGCCGTTTTTTAATGTTGTGGGCAAAAGCCATATTTTTTGGAATCAAACTGCATTGTATTTTTTTTAAATTACATCATCTTTAGTTACCCAAGATATATATTGCATAATGATGACAGGTGAGCAAGGAATGTTAATGTTTTTGGAAATTCATGATCCATCTTCATCATCGGGAGGAAAGACAGTGTGCAGAGCATATGTCTATCCAGAGAATATATGAAGTGAAATTTACGGTGGCGTGGAGGATACTTGTATTCTTGCAGTGGAATTGGGGTGTAGTGTTTTAGCTGAACATAACTTTGTGCTACTGCAGAAAAGTTGGTGCTATAGCAGAAAAAGATATATTACTGCAGGTCACGCTGAAGCATGGATGACGAAAATTGCTGTTCTAGTTTGTGCTCAGGAACAGACAGATGTGACCCAATTACAGTCTGCAATTCACCTCTGGATTTTGGTCTGGAACACATGTTATCCAAAGAATGAAATGATTGATAATGGAGGCCCTTTAGTCTTAGAATTAAAGGGTTAGTGCTGGATACGATAGTCATGGGAATTGTGTGACTTCATGATTAATTTTGCAGTTTTTAGGGTTGTGTTATTTGCTTTAAGGTCATGATTTAATTTGTTGGTATGCAGGTCTCTCGTGAGCAAAAAGGGGTTTTGGTTGTATGTAATTTACAGTAGTCTGCCTCTGTGGGTTGAGACACTGTGCCTGTGATTTGAAGGTTGCTGGTTCAAGTCTTGGGGCTGGCCAAATGATCAAATTAGTGGTGGGCATCCGAGATGCTGGCCCTTAACCCTGAAAACTTCTGAAGGGATGCCAGATGAATGACTGACTTAGTGCTGTGATTCCAGGCTTTGTTTTCACATAGGAGAGAAAGATGTGAAACAAAACTAAATTAAAACTTAATGTTCATCTACAAATGGAAAAATAAAGTATTGTAATTATTTATATTATATAGTTATCTGGAAAAAAAACATGATCCCAAGAATCAGACAGTTGTGGTTAATCAGTAGACCTAATTCAATATAACCAGAAAAAAGTTTCATTAAGTAGCAGTAATGTTGCATATTACTTTTATGCATAGGGTAAGTCACCTTCAGGAAGATGGAAAGTGCCGCAGCCAATTTAGTTTTGATATCATCAAGTGAGTGTGGCTATCTCTACTGTGGAAGTGGTAGAGATGATCAAAAGATAACTCTGTCTGAATGAACCCTCTGTTTTTCTATTGTACTGTCTCTTTTTTATAAACATCATCTGCAAAAACTGATTCATGACACCATTGATTTTAATTTTGACAGTAATTATTATAAATAAAGGACCATTCTTCTTTAAAAATGCAATAGTCATTTTCCACTTCAGAAATGACGTTCCATGGCAACCAAGTTAGATTGCTATGGAAACACAATCTTGGAAAGGATTGAGATTATGGTAGCATTGCTATAGGTGTTTCTTAGCAAAAAGGTCTGAGTTAAACATGTAGTACCAGAATAGTATTAGTATTAATCTTTTTGAGTGTATTTTCATGATACATGCCTACACCGTTTTTTGCACAAACAAAGAATATTCATATTTATGGATATTCATGCATTTAATTAGATAAAATTAAACTGAATGAAATTTGTACTTAAAGGAGCCTAATAATCAATGTTTTGTAATTTAATGTTCTGTATTACACATCTTGGTTTTTCAAATTTGTTTTGTAAATTCTGTAAAAAACCATCATGTCTTTGGATAAAAAGAATTCACTGAACACCGAATGCAGCGTCTAACAGACTGTGTTGTAATGGAATGACTGCTGTATTTAATATGTGATGTAGAAGAAAAGTTGTGTAAAGGTGGCTCAGTCAGTGGCATCATTGCCTTGGATTTCAATGCTGAAGATTCAAATCTCGCCCCCCATTCTGTGTGTGTGTGTGTGTGTGTGGTCCAGGGATACCTTACAGTGTGGGGACCAAATGTCCCTACAACGTAATAATAACCTGTTATTTTGACATTGTAGGGACCATTTTTAACCTCAATTTCATAAAAATCAGTGACTGCAATCAAAAAACTAATAATGCCAAAACACTTGTATTTTGTTTGGTTACTTACTGTATGGTTAAGGTTAAGGCTGGGTAGGGGTTAAGGGTGTCGTGATTGGGATTAGGGTTTTTCCCATAGAAATGAATGGACGGTCCCCATTTAGACCAACTTTGTTTGCTTTGGCTAACTGTGTGTGTGTATGTGTGTGTTTATGTGTTTCTGTTCTGGAATGGATTGGTATCACAGCAAGGATGTACAGCTGCTTTACGCCCCAAGCGACAGGCCCCCCTGTACTGCGTAGGTGGTTAGAAGATGGATAGACAGAAGTAAAAAAAAAAAATGTTTTGGTGAAAACACCGTAACACCCTGGTGTTAAGGATTGTTACGCCATTTTAATTACTTGAACAATACTTCAACACGAAAATGTTGGACTGCATGAATGAGTTAGTGGCTTGAAAAAAGAACAGATTCATTTTCATAACACTTATAGGGTAACTTTTCACTTAGTCCTTTTGTTATTGATTTTTCTTTTTCCCAACTTTTACCCCCTGGTTCCTCATTTTTAAATCCTGTGATGCTCATCCCAGGTCCACACAGTCCTCATAACCTCCCTAATCCTTGCATGGCTGCAGCTTTGCAGGTTACATTATCCCTCCCTGGTTTTGGGATTTTGACCTTAAGTAGCTGCTCCGCTCCCAAAGCTAGAAAGGGTCCAATGGCCCCTGAGAGCTGTGTGAAAGGCGCAGATATAAACTGGTAGTCAAAATGACAAGGTGCGGAAGCTGACCAAATTCTCCTGCGGCTTTGAAAATTTAATTGGAAGCACTGTGGAGCCTATTTCCGGTATTGGTCAAAGAAGCTACATGACTTATGGCTTGCAAACCGCTTAGAATTCAGTTCCTGCTGCGATAGACAACAAGCTAAAACAGTTAGCAAGTTATTCAACAGCATATAATGGAAATACATCAGTTCTTGATCTAGATATTTACTTAGATTTACTTCTGCATTTTTTATAAAGTACATTTTCATCTTCTAATTACTGTCGTATCTCCTAATTGCAACTCAACTTGGCATTCTTCCCTCTTAGTAACACTCTCCCTCATTAGTTACATGACTTGTATAAAGCCAGTAAAACATATTTGTTCTCTGAGATCCTGGCAGCTGAGAGTTTACCGTTTTATTTATCTTTGCAAATGCATGTCCTTTCTATTTTGAATATTTCCTAAACTGCACCAGATTTTCTTGATATAGAAGAAAATAAATAGCAGTCTAATTCATCTGTGAGTGTGTTTTTGTGTGTATGTGTGCATCTGTGAGAGGGAGTTGATGTGTCAGACTCGTTGTCAGCTGAGAAGAGGTTAAAGCAAGAGAGACAGAGACAGAGAGAGGGAGAGGCAGAGGAGAGCTTGTAAAATAAGAAATCTGCCGCTTGACAGTTTAAGCATTGTGCAACTAGCTGCACTCAAAAACAAAGTAATTTTAGGGGCGTCAGCTATATTTGCTATTCATATTGTAGTGGGGAGAGAGAGGGAGGGAGGGAGGGAGGGAGAGAGAGAGAGAGGCAAAAGAGCGAGAGAGCAGCAAAAAGAGAGAGATGTAGAGGGATGATGAGACTTGCTACATGTCTGATGCAGGACGTAGTTTGCTTTCTGCATGAAAAGAGTGGCTTCTTGCATCTCAGCCAGCTTTTTTTAAATTGGCAGTCTAAGGATTGCTTGCCACTTGCCTTTACTGACCATGCTGATGGAGAAAATATGAAAGAGAGCCTTGTTCATTTTACCTGCCTTTCCATACAAGGCACCATGGCATTGTTGGTTAAGAGGATATAGTAAAGTTTTCTTATAAACTTTATTCAGTTAGGTGAATTTATTGTAATTGTTTTGCCATCATGAGGTAAGTTTGCATTTATTGATCATTTTCTTTATTTGCATACTTTACATGGTATATAGTATTTATACGATTAGTAGTAATATTTAAACATAGTTGAGTTGGTGTGCTGTTTGTTATGGTTCAAAAATATGAATAGCATCCTTTTCCTCTCCTTATCAAAGCCTTTTTTGGTTTATATTATGTAGCTTTGTCGCAATAAATAAACAGTTTCAAATGACCCTTTATGAACATGTAAGTTTTGGCCGGAAAGCATATAGTATTTTCTTTACATGAATATATTTCAGTATTGGTACCTCTCAATCAAATATTCTCTTTGTTCTTGGGAAATTATTTAATACTTTATCGCAGATACTTTTAAAGCTTTAAAGTGATATAACACAGCTGATATTATTATGATACGTAATGTGTACTACATAGCCCTAATATTTTAATCATAATATAATAATTTAATTAAATTTTTTCTTCAGTTCTTCAATTATATAAAAAATCAATATTACTGTTACACAAATATAAATTATCATTGTTAATATAATTTTTGGACCATTATATAGTTTGTAAAATTTTTTGGCTATAGTGCTTGGTAGAAATTTAGATTCTTTGTTCCTTTCAGTGGTCACAAACAAAATCTTGTTGGTCCCCTGCATGTGCAGTTATTATATGAACAGAAGATGATGTGAGGTAATCAAAAGGTTGTACTGCCTGTTGTGAAGGAAATTGAGCCATGAGCCAACTGTTTCCAGGCTATAGAAATGTGTAAATGGAAATGGCCAAATTTCTCTCTAAGAGTTTTTCTACCAGCTATTTCCCTCCACTTTCTTCTGATTTCCTGGTGATTACTGACAATTCACCAGGCATTTGTTCCAAAAAAAGTATTTAGTTTGTTTATTGTCTTTTTAAAAAAATGTTTTGACAGAATGGTGAGTTCCAAAACAGCGGGAAATATGAAACGTTTGGCCAGTTGAAGTTCTGACTGTCATTTCATCCTTATCAGCTGTGACACATCAGCAGGAGTCCGACTCAGAAGTGGAATAAAAATGCTTCTTTAATCCATTTATCTTCATAAGCGTTTATCCAGTACAGGGTCACTATGAGCTTAGAACGTATCCTAAGATGCATGCAGAGTAAAGTCAAAGCCCATCACGCACTAAGGGCAATTTCGATGTACCTGTTCACTGTGTCTCGTTTGAGACGCACCCTAGCAGAAGTATAGGCCAACTCCTCACAAAGGGCACGGCATGTTTTTATTTATTCTTTGGTTTATACAAGTTATACATGTTTTTACTTACATTTAATTAGCTTAATTTGACAAGTTATAATGTTATATTTAGGAGAGCATGCCCCCTGGTTAGCACTGTAACCTCACACTTCTATGGTCAAGGAATTAGCGCTCTGCGTGTGTGGAATTAGCATGTTTGGTGTTGCAGGAGTGTGAGTCTGGGGCCATAAATTGCATATATTGTTTGCGGGTTGTGCTCTTTGATGAACTGGCATTCCCTGCCCCCTGTGTGGCATTGCCAGTCTGCTACCTACTGTCTGGGACAGGCTCCAGGCTCAACCTTACTCTGTACTAGATAAGAGGTATGGACATTGGTTTGATATACACTGATTTATTGTGTAAAACTTACCAATTGATTTAGCCTGTTCATTAAAAATGCAGTAAATTGTTACTTTTAAAAAGAAAAGACATAATAATTTATCACTTATTTTATTATGGTTGCCCAGGCAGGCAGCCAAAAATACCATTCCAAGAATTTCTCCCTAACTGGATTTTGCAGCACTAAAAATCAGCGATTACTGGCACATCCTATTGGATTTCGTTAACGGTTTCCTTTGACTCAGTAGGCTTCAGTAGTTCATAGCAGCATTTTTTTCAAGTGTCCAGAAATCTTACTGGAAAATGTGTTATAAAGCATTTCTTGCCAGTGACTCATAGTGTGTTTTCAAACAAGTGACTGCTTTGCAACATAAACAGAAGGAATTGCCCTGTAGCAAAGCCAGAACATTCATTTAGCTTTGAACACGGGGACAAAGGACATACAGTATTTTTGGGAGAGAAAAAAAATTCATTCATAAGTTTAAAGGAAATAGCTTATTCGGTGATTTTGTTAATGAATACAAGGAAAACTAAAGTTTTATTTCCTACAACTTGTTGCAATGGTGTGCAGGGATAGTTTTCCATAAGCAGCATCCTGATGTAGTTTAGGAAGCATAATACTATATTAGTATTTTTTAAAGTATTTTAGAAAAGTTTCAGTCTGAAAAGTTATGTTTGATTTGAATTTGGTATTATTTATTTCAGTACATAGAAATATTGTGTGAAGTGTATTATCTTTTGTTACTGGCTTAAAGAAAATTTGTGAAAACCTTTGCTTTAGTAGGTTGGTTTTACTGCAGTCTGTGGAGGAGAAAAAAATAACTGACTTCCGGAGATCATGGCAAGCAACATGGTAGAATATATCAGCACTAATGGTTTCCTTAATGAGTGATATTTTACACTGTATGAAACATTATGGAACCAAAATAAAATACAACTCTCTTGTTCCCCAACCATTTCTTGACATCTATTAGATCATTTATATGAATTTATGGTAACACTTTACTTGACGGGGCACAAATAATATATACTATTACTTACGTATTAATTAATCACAAAGTAACTCTTAGTTACATACTGATCTCATGTTAAATCATCATTAATGAATCATGACACATGTTTTATCTCAAGCAGTTACTGTATTTGTTACTATATCTGTTAATTCTGTAAGTTTTTGTGAATTACTGAAGGAACTACTGAAGGAAAAAGTCATGAATAACACAAGTGAAATACTGATATGTTTGTTCATTAATGAATCCTGATGCATCTTTTATCTGAAGTAGCAATTATATTTGTTCATGGCTCATTCATAATTTGTTCAGTAGTAAATAAGTTATTACTAAGTATTTGTGCCCTGTCAAGAAAAGTGTCACCAAATTTATTTTAAATCTTTTCTACATTTGGATGTTTATACTGTGTTCACTACAATGCAACACAGATACAAATATGCACTAATCAGCCATAACATTGAAACCACCAACCTAATATTGTGTAGGTCCCCCTCGTACCACTAAATCAGTTCTGAGCCATTGAGTCATGGACTCTTCAGACCTCTGAAGATGTTCTATGGTACCTGGCACTATGACATTAGCAGCAGATCCCTTAAGTCTTGTGAGTTGCGAAGTGGGGCCTCCATGGATTGGACTTACTTGTCCAGCACATCCCACAGATGCTCCATGTTTAGGTGGGTGGCACATATCAATGCTACATCCACATGGTTTCCCAGCAGAGCATTGTATCACACTACTTCCACCGGTTTGCTGGGTAAATGATGCATACATGCTCACTCACCCGGCTGTCCACATAATGTAACGGAAAACGTGACTCATCAGACCAGGCCACCTTCTTCCATTGCTCTATTGTCTGGTTTTGACGCTCATTTGCCCCTTGTAGGCACTTTTGGTGGTGGACAGGGGTGAACATGGGCATTCTGGTTGGTCTGCGGCTATGCAGCCCTGTACGCAGCAAGCTGTAATGCATTGTGTGTTCTGACACCTTTCTATCATAGCCAATTTTTCAGGATTTTGCAGCAGACGGGCTAGCCTTCACTCCCTAAGTGGATCATTGAGCCTTGGGCGCCCATAACTCCAGTTCTGGTTTACCAGTTAGCCTTCCTTGGACCACTTTCAGTAGGTACTGGCCACTGCATGCCAGGAACTTTCCACAAGACAAAATTTAGTAGAAAAGCACCACCCGAATAAGGGTGTAGCAGTGCGAGCGATTAATCTGTTTAACGACAATGCAATTTCCACATTTCCGCGAAATCAAAAATGAGGCAAAAGTGGCTGTCACTGGATAGGTTCCTTGTTAAAGTCACACAAAAAGAAAAAGATTCCAGTGAGCCAACAGATAGCAGTGATTCCGTTAGTTATAGTGACAGTCATCGTACAAAAAAACCTTCCTCTTCTCCTCTCTCTCGTCTCCCTCACACCATCCATGATTCTTTTCAAAGGTAAAGTGCAGGTTAATTTGTTTTAATTTGTTTTATGTATTTTACTTTATATTTTGTACTAATCATTTTTATATGAATATGTTTGGGTTGTGGATCGAATCTTCTGAGTTTCCATTATCTCTAATGAGAAAATTCGCTTTGATATACGAGTGCTTTGGATTACGAGCACGTTTCCGGACCGAATTATGCTCGCAATCCGAGGTTTTACTGTGTGTGTGTGTGTGTGTGTGTGCGTGTGTATATATATATATATATATACAGTATATATATATACAGTGGTACCTCGGTTCTCGAACTCACTAGAACTCGAATTTCTTGAAAGTCGAACAAACCAGTTTGACCTAGAACTCGAGCTGAATATCAGAAGTCGAACCGTGAATGCTGACCTAATATAAATTGTACGCGCCAGGAAATGAGTCATACTACAATGCAATTCTTACTTGAATGCTATCTTCACAGACTGGACGATTAACCAAATAAAGCAGCGGAACATTACAGTAACTAACAATAAATAAACCACTAACTTACGTGTACTATTAGAACATTTATGTAATTTATTTAAACTTTATTTTACCAGGTAAACTAACTGAACACCAGTTCTCACTGCTTTACGTGATATTTGGGAGAAATAGCAGATTACGTATACAAATGTCATGCATGTACAGTAACTAAACTCTTCAGCCAATAAGGGCAAAGGTGTGTCGTCACGGAGGCGGTTCCAGTTTGTGCAGCCGGGTGAGAGGTCGCAATGCATCTAACCGTAATGCATTGCGTCAGGATCAGAATGCATTGCTTTAAGCCAGTGCTGTAAGCAAGTCGAATGCACCCAATGACCGGACTGGGGAAACAAACTGAAACGCGGACTTAATACAGAGGACTAATGACAACAACAAGAAACAGCTGATTACATGGGGATCCCACATGAGGTTAACGAGGGGGCGTGGCACACGGAAGGAGCGGACGATCAGGGCAGGACAGGGGTAATGTTGGGATAAGATCTTTATCGTTTTGGAAGCCATTAAGAAAAAGATGTTCTTCTTGTTTTATCCTGTTCATTTTGTGTTTAAATGCTAAAAAAAAACAAAAAAAAACATATTTAGGTGTAATTTTGGGTGGCCGGGAACCAATTAATTGGTTTTCCATTATTTCTTATGGGAAAAATTCGATCAGAACTTGAACTTTTTAGGATTTGATCCGGAGTCCGGAACGGACTAAGTTCGAGAACCGATGTACCACTGTGTGTGTGTGTGTGTATATATGTATACATATATATATATATATATATATATATATATATATATATAGACATACACATATATATACTGTGTGTGTGTGCGAGGATGTTCTGAGGATTGAGAAACACATGCCTCTTCTGTTTGTCAGAAAATAAGGAAGAAGCAAAGGCTAAACAATGTGGTGCATGTGAATTTAGTTAATGGAGCTTATAATTAAAATTTCAAGTACAATGTAAATAACTTTTTCCCTCTAAGACCTTCTTTAGTAAACCATATATGGTAATAAAAGCCAGCTAGTGAAAGGTTCCTTCTCCATTTACACTCCAAGCAGTGTTACTCTGTAGGAATCGATGCACCATTCCGCTATCAATCAGCCAAACATAACAAAACAATTGTTTTTAGTGACCTTTGCCAGGAGTGTCTTTGTTGGAAGGTATGTGCTCCTAATTACTCTGCACTGTCTAAGGCCGTGTGGCCTGCATTTTTACTGTTTTTAGTGCATTGGATTTAGCTGTTTGCCTGCCTTTTTGGTACGTGGATGTCTGTGTATTTGAATCACACCCAGGAAAAACAGGAAGGAAACAATTGGCAGTTTAGAACTGCAGTAATTGCACAGTAACAACAGGCAAATGAATGGCCTGATTCTTGAAAATGCAGAGCTGCATCCGACATGCTCGTGCATTTGCATGCTTGATTGATTTTATTTTTAAACCAAAAATCTTATAAAATCTCATAATCTCCCAAAAGCTAAAATCTTTCCATGCTAGCACTTTTAACTCGTAATATATAGAAACTCATTTTTTTATCCTTAAAATCAAATGCAGCTCCAAATGACAGACTTTTATTCCTAGTAGTAGTTGTCTTTGCTTTTCAGTCCAGGACAAAAGACAGCATTTCCCTTTTTTTTTTTTTACAAATTCATTGGTTAAAGTCATGTATTAAGAACATATTTGATATGACGTACTGTAGGAGAAAAAAGTTGAAAAAATACAGATCAAATTTTATCTTATTTCACTTTTTGATTTGTTCTTTTCTTAATTTACTGAAACACTTATCTCATAATTTTGTTTTTCTTATCTTATAATATTGCAGTGTAACTAGAATGACATTATGGGTTTCAGCACATTAGTGGTTTAAGCCGTTTAATTATGAATATATGCGATACAGCTCTGTAAACAGGTGCCCTGTAGGGCCTAATGTGGGAATTACTGGCTAGATAATCATGAGACATTCTGTTCTAAAATACATTTTTATTAATTAAAGCATTTAATTTAAATTCATTTTCCGTAGCATTTGTCTTATACTGGCAACAACGGGCATAAGGCACGGAGTAACCCGTCGTAAGGCACCGTTCACACACACACAGTTTGGCAAGTCCAATTCTCCGTAGCATGTTTTTCAGTTGTGGGGGGCATCCAGGAAATGCCACGATGGCACAGGGAGTACATATGATCCCCAAACAAATACATGGAGAACCTGCTAACTCCAGACACAATGAGCCAGGGAACTGAACTCTGGTCTCTATAATGTGAGGCAATTTGAAATGTATGTTTTCTCATTTTAGCAGAATTATGCTTTTATTCTTTGTTGTTGAAGTATTTTTTATTATTTTTTGTATTTACTTCTGGGCTAAAATTATGAAAACCAATAACTAAAGTTATACAAACACAAGTATATGAAACATCAGAACAGAGCTGTAAGAAATAAAGTCCTAAAAGCAATAGAGATGCCCATACTCCAAAATTATGTGAAACTTGTTTTGTTGCTTATCAAATAATTTGTGCTTTATTGGCTGTGTTCTGGAGCAATCAATGACTACAAACTAAAATAGTTCAGGTTGCTCATTTCTCCATGACATGTTTGCACACCACACCTGTCATCTAGCCACCTTGTGCTTCACAAAAATGCTAATAAATGAATGGAAGGCAATGGCACGGTGTTTTGAATTTTGTCTGACTTTAGTTTTTTCTTGTTACGCGCAGCTTGGCAAACCATCTGATGTGTTGTCCAGTTGAACATTTGCTTTGTGTTGTGCGTGTAACAAACAAAAGAATGAGGGGGTTTGTGTTGTATAAGGGAATATGTGAGGTGTATGCAATTTAGCTGCGATTGAGTCAGCTGAATTGCATTTAATGGCATTACATAAGGCACACCAGTAGACTACATACCGAACAGCTGGCTAGATTTTTATTCAAACAGAATGAATTATTCCTACTGAGAATCTGGCACAAATGTCATTTTTAACTATTTTATTTTATCCTTGCACTCTACACTTGTAATATAAAAAAGGTCTGCATGATAGGACCTTGAGCTCTTAATTATTTCAGTTACCTCTTTGAATGTAATTTCAGAACAAAATGTTCTTCATGCTTATACAGCATTTAATACCCTTTCTAAGTCCTCTCGTGGCACATTTTATAATATGGTGCATGTACTGCACAAAGAAGGCCTTGAGATTTTAACTATATTACTGACTTCTTTGGTCTGTCTTTTCTTATTCATCGTGATGTGGATTTGGTGATAATAAATTTTATAATACTGTACTTCCGTTCGGGAAACTTGCGGGTGACCAGCAAGTTTTGGTGTAACGGGTGAAAAATATCCTGCTTTGCAATTTGTGGGTATGGGTGCACTTGGAAATCAATAGTCCGTAGGTGGACTGCGAGTCTAAATAGCGATGCTTATTTAAAAAATATAATTTTTGAAAACGTAAAAAAAAAATGCTACATTTTTATTTACACCGGCGTGAGCCTACATTTTAAACTGATGAAAATACGCTTGGTTAAATTACATGTCCTCCAATAACTCTGCTTGAAATCACATTGGGGGTTGTGAGTGCGGTTTATATCTCGGAATCTATTTGAAGCGGGTCGCAGCAGATATGTAATGAAATTAGGGCTGCTGTCGGCTAATGGGTCGATTGCAGTTTTAAGCACTGCAGGTACATGCAGGTGCAGGTTTACAAAACAGGACCCATGCAGGACTCAGGACAGGTTTGTTTTTCTACTATACCAGGAAGACTTGATGGGGAAAGGAAAGAAAATGCTATGCAGATCTTTTACTTTTTTATTTTTCAGTTGGCCAATAATATAACTGAAATTAACTTTAGTGCTAAAAGATTTTACTGTGTTGAACAGTTGAACAAGTAACGTATGATAATAATGGTCATGCTTTCTCTAAACATGCATTTTTTTCTGATTTGCAAGCCATCAGCCAGGGTTGGGCTCCAAAAGCTGTAATCTGCACCCCAACCATGAATTTTTTTACACAAATCATTAAAATACTAAGAGCAAGGATGCAGGTGTGTATTTGAGAGTGTCAGAGAAGCACATGGGCCACTGTTTGAAGGGATGTTCTCTGGAACCGACTTCAATGGACAGGATGGGGCGTGTATCACTCAACAGTCTGAGGGAAGTGCTTTCAATACGAAAGGTACACAGAATCTCAAAGCAACCCAGGATCCTTGGAGCAAGCATCACATCCAGGAAGGGGAGAAAGATACTGAACTGGACTTTGCATTATTAAATTCACAGACTGAGAAAAACGCTAGGGGGGTCGTCACCGGTGCTCAGTATTGTTCTCTACAGGGTTCCAAAGATCAGGCCCTGGGCACTCTTAGAAAATCTTGTGTAGGGATGGAGGTTCGGGTTATGGAGAACTATAACAAGATTCCTTGTTTTGTGCGCAATAATGGACCAAAAGTAGGTCATGCTTTTTCTGACTCAGTCAGCTCTAGTTGTTCTGGAGCCAAAGGTGAAAGATGGGCTGAGAGGGATGGAAACACCTTTCCCGGTGCTGGTCATGTTCCGGTCTGCTCCATAAATAATGATAAAACAGGCACAGTAAAGGAAGAAGAGAAGTGTGAGAATGAGGAAGAATCTAGTGCCGTCATTGAGCACATACTAAAAGAATTACGTGGCATAAATAAGATCCAGGAAGAGATTTCAGATTTGCGTGAGTATCTCACATCAGTATGGGGTTCTGTTGATGAAATATCCAGCTGTGTCGATGCCGTTCTCATGGAAATTGAAGGACTCCGTTCAGGATCAAGCACAGGAGCGGGGAGTAGTGGAGAAACTATCATATCCCAAAAACCCAATAGCCAAATAGGTTTTGAGGTACAGGAATCATGTCATGCAGTAACCCAGGAACTCATAAAACTGCAATCACAGTTTAGTGAAATGAATGAACATACAAAGAGTTCATCAACAGAGGGTAACTGGTTAGAACCTGCTGGGTCTACGTTTCGGACTTCCTCTGATGGTTATAACTTGATCAAGATTCCTGATCAAGATCCTTCAGAAAAAGCATTGGAATTACCATCTTGCTCGCTGTCTAGAAAAGTCAGCTTTAGTTTTCTAGAATTTCAAGAAGGCCAGAAATGCCCAAGCACCAGTTCCCTGTCTTCAAGCCATAGCTCAAAGTCAAATGAATATTACAAAGGGAAACATCATGTATCTACCATGAAACCTGACGACTGGAGAACTGTGGGTACGCAGCACAGTGTAATTAAGAAGACAGATGGCGACCTTCAACTTTCTTTTCCTCAAAAGAATATTACAGAACAAGAGGAGAATCTTGGAGAAATGGATACATGTGAACAATGTAAGCGCACAGAACCTGAAAACACCACAGATCAATCATCAGTATGTAGTCCTGAATACCTTGTGTTTGAGAGTGATCGTCACTATAATACCCCCGCTGATTCTCCCAGATCAGCAAATTGGCAGGAACTCGGATATTCTAACCATGACAATGGGGCATCCACTGACATGCAGATAGCAAGTTGTAGTTTTGAATATGATTATACTGCCAGCTGTATTTACTCTCCTACTTCTGGCTACCATTATCTAGAGACTTACAATCAAGGATATGTGACTGAGCCCTCCAGAATCCCCAATCACAACTCGACCATTTTAGAGTGTGTCGGCTGCCATGACTGTGATCTTACACCTGATGATCTGGAAGTAGGTATGGGGCAAACTGTGAACCCAGAGTGGGAAGGACAGTCAAACACCATTAACACAGTTGATGCAGCCTTACAAGGAGAGGAGGAAGAAGAAAGTGTCAACTACCTTCCTTGTATAAAGAATGAGGATGAGGAGGCTGATACAGGATTCAATGTGAAAAGGTTTGGAAAAGTGGTGCTAGATTTTAAAAGTGCCGTTCGTTGTGCTCTACATAAACTGGAGACCACGGGTCCTCAGTTCTCTGAGGAGGAAATTGAAAGCAAACTATCTGTAAGTCCAAGTAGAAGCCTGATAGAAATAGACAGCACAGAAAGTATCCGAGAGGAGGAAGGAAATAGCTCCATAGAACATTTTCCAGAGATGGACGGTGAAGCCTGTCATACGGATGCAAAGCCAAGCCAGCTGGACTCCCTGGAGGAGTGCCCTCATACATGTAGGACACAGGTTGGTCTCCAGGGCTCTCCAGGTACTCTTATCTCTCATGAAATGACTGCCAAGAAGCTGGAAGGTACAGGAGAAGCCCAGGCCACTGAGGAACAGAACTCCACCAAAGCAAAACTATCCGAGCTCTGCACTAGCGATACAGAACTCAGCCAGCAGGAGGTGCGGCGTCTTAAATGCATCAGTAACTTCCAGAAAATCCTGAAGGAGAAGCGGCAGATGCAGCAGAATCTTTCAAGGATGACCATGCACACCTTTTCTCAGGAGGAGAGCTTTCCAGGTACAATGAACTTTATTGACACTTTTCACTAATACTCATTCCTGCATTAGTATAAGTTGCGCCATGATGTTACTATTTACAGTATAATGCAGATCGACATTTTACCAATACCTTTGCGACACAAATGGAGTCCTTCCATTTTATTTTCCAGCAGAGTAATAATCCATAAGCATTTACAAAAAGTGCCCAAAATGTTTGTAAAAATGCACATCAGGGACTCATGTACATTTATATACAGTAACTCCTTTATATTTGCAAGGGTTAGGTGCAGAACATCCTGTGAATGTGAAAATTTGCCAATAACCCTAACCTCAACCCATAGCAGTCTGCTAACCTAAGCGATAACAGAGAAAGTCTATTTATTACCAGTTTTTAAACAAACAGTACTGTACTGTACAATTGCATGTGAGATTGCTTTGTCATTTTCTGTGTAGACCTTTTTATGCTAAAATACAATCCATCTAAATTATACCCCTGCATGAACAAAGTAACTATAGTGCTGTGTGCACTGGAAGCGCTACGTTTTGGACCTATTATTAAAAATACAAAATGTCAGCACTGAAAAGTTACTATGAGAAATGCTAGATTCACAATATGTATAGAAATTTCTGTTTTCTTCAAGTGCTCCCTCAGTCCATTAACATCATAAGGTGAATTCGAGTTACCAAATTGCATGTAGGTATGAACTTATGAGTTTGTGAGTGAACGGTGTGTGAGTGTGTGAGTGAACGGTGTGTGAGTGTGAATGGTGTGTGAGTGCCCTACGGTGGGTTGACACCCCATCCTGGGTTGTTCCCTACCTTGTGCCGGTAGCCTTCAGGATAGGCTCCAGACCCTTCGTGACCCTGAATAGGATAAGCTGTTACAGAAAATGGATGGATTGATAGATGGATGATTTTACAGTATGTGATCCAGATCATTTTTAGTATTTTTTGGCTTACGCATTGTCTGCCAGTTTCCGCAATGTTTCTGCAAGCTCCAAAAATAACTCATTATTCACAAGCAGCTCCGGAATAACCAAAACTGCGAATGTCAAGTTTGCAAATGTGAAGGGGTTACTGTGTATGTGTGTGTATTTTTTTCCCAAAAAAACATGCTGGTCGTTCATTATGAATGCCTATTCTGTTTAGTGTAGATGTGACAAAATAGATGACGTTACATGGAAGAGCAAATTATCAAAAGGTAAAAAATGTATGAAATTGCTTTATAAAAGAGTAGGCCTATAAACTGCAGTACATTTCAATCGTTGGTTTGTTCAGCTTGTTTTAATAGTGTGCATAAAATATTTCTAAAAACAATATTTTGATATTTTAAAATAAAGTTGTTTTCTTACTCTGCTTTCTTGTTTTGCAGAAGGCAGTAGAGGAGTTGTCCAGCAGGTCACTGACCACCCTTAAACAGAAACATCTCTCATGTTCTTTAGTGACTGTACTTGTGCATGAGGTTTACCATGTCCTCATGTTTTTTGTTCTCTGTGTTTGTTTTGCTCTGCGGTCTGCTTGTATTTCTTTTGTTGTTTTTGCAGTCTGCTTAAAGGAAAACTTAATTTTTTCTCGAAAGGAGACATTGACTCATCAATAAAATGTTATGGTGCCTACTGTAATCCTTTGGAGATAATGAAGCTGCTTAATATGTTGTATTGCAGATGGAATCATTTTTGTTATTTTGATTTTTTTTTTTTACATCGTGGTTTGTTTGCTGTTTTCAGATGAGGGAAAGAGATCCTTAGTAAATAATTTGGGAACAAATACAATTTTTTGCCAGATTTGTTGATACTTTGTATGTCTTTTGCAAAACCATAGCAGTGTAAATTATTCTAACAAGTTCAACCTTTAATCTGCAATTACTGCTGCATTCTAAGGTAAGCAGACATGTGAAGCATAGTTACATATACCAAAAGCCTTTCATCAGTGTGGAGTTTTCTTAATATCATCTTCTGACATTTTAAGAAACATTATTCCGAAACATTAATACTGCAACGTATGTTCATGCAGCTTTTTGTGATGAAGTTGCTGTAGTCTGTGTAACTGATCTATCTGCATTGCTGTGAAATATACATTGGAGCGTTCCTTTAAGACATATGCAGAAATTCAGACCGCAGGTCAGTTTTATCTGTGCAGTTCTTGTGTGATTAAGCATGTAGAGAGATTATGTCCCTGATTACTACCTTGTCTCATTTGGCTTAGTGTTTTTCCACAGGCTCAATAGTGAAATTCTTTCTGGGCTTTAATGGAGAGTAATAAGCAGGATCTCTTCATGGCTATTTATGGATGAATGCTCTGGTTTCAGATACCCAGTATGACTTTATGCGTTATAGCGGAAGATCCCTGACAGGATGAGGTTAGCAGAGGGACAGCTGCAGTAATCAAATCCCCGCAAGCCGGAGTATCCACACGCCCAGACATCTCAAGCTGTCTTTTCATTTGCTGTGCTGTGACCATCACAAAACCTTTGTTTACGCTCTGGCACCTCTGTTAAGCATCCACTTTCTTATTGAGATGTTGTTTTTATAGAAAAGAGAATACCAATACTTTGTGGTTTGTGCTTTGAGCTTTTAATCATTGCAACTTTTTGATGTTTTCTTTTATGATTCCTGCGCACCATTACCTTCTGGACTATTACACTCCTCCTGCTGTTCCTTTACGTCCAGTCCTGCTTTCTTCCTTGTCCAATTACGTGTTAGTGTAGTTTTATACATATTTACATTTGGGTGACCTTATGTCTTAACAGACATCATTAAGTCACCTTTTAAGGACCGAATAAAAACTAAATTGTCTGTAGCACGCGATGCTAATGTAGTGGCAGTTATGGCTTCCACAAAGCTGAAATCTACCTGGTCTAATCTGTTCTGCTATCTTTGTGCTCCAGCATGCTTTTTATGAAGAAGACTTTCCTGACTTCATACCATGAGTCCATCATTGCTTTCTGGTCTGTCTTGTGTTAAACAGAACCGTGAAGGTAATGGCGGCATCAGCAAACACCCATGGCTCAAGTCTAGGTGAGCTGCTGCTCGCGGATCAGTAATGAAGCATCTCTGTCCCCTCACAATGTTACCTACTTATTGCTAGCAAGAAACTTTATCATTTCTTATCTAAACAATGAATAATGCGAAGTGGAGCAAATTATTTTTTTCCCATAAGCCTTGAGCAAAAGAGAAATAATCCACTGTGCTTTTATTTGCTTAGCCGAAAACTAATTCAGATGAATTAAAATACTTTGTTCAGGAGACATACGAAGCAAATTTTTCCCTTTAAGAAATGTAAATGTGGGTCTGTATTGTATATCTGGATCCATAGTGGAGGGGATAACTTTGGGATTGACAGCATGCCTGATCTACGGAAGAAAAGGCCCATCCCACTGGTCAGCGACTTGGTGAGTGCTGGTCTCATCAAGGTCCTCCTGTGCAGTGGCGGCTGGTGAAAAAAATTCTTGGTGGGGCTGACGTACCAATAGATTTCCCCTAGTCCAGTATAAGCATTCAAATGAACAGTCAGAAAATGACAACAATTTCACAATCATAATTTAATTTCCTTCTCAAAATCAGCAGTTTCACAGATAAAGTAAATTAACAATTTACAGCTACAGTTATTTCGGGCTTGTAGGGTCCCAGCTCCTTAATGTGGATTTTTTCCACCATCGTCCTTCTCGCAAAAGGGTAATTCAATAACGATCTCACCGAATTTAGTGGAAGCTGCCCCTCAACTGTGGTTGTCAACATCATCTCTCTCTGACTGACTGACCTGAGAGCAATCTAAAACTTTCCCTTTTTTATGTATTAGGGGCGAAATTTCCAGCGCCCCAAAACCACTTAATTAGGCAATGCTGATAGGCCAAATTTTTATTATTTTCGCCTAGCAACCATACACGATTGGCTATTTCGCTGTACTTCTGGGGTGCTTTGATGAGCGCCCAAGAAGAGAAATGATTGGTGGAAATCTGTCAGTGGAAATTCACTGTTGAATGAGAGTCAGTCGGTAGAAATGTTGTTTAAATAATTCAGATTGCATGTAGGCACACACTATTAAGTAAAACTGACATTAATAATATATATATATTTTATATTCCCCCCACATCTGGGAGGGTGGTGCCTGAGCGCCCCCTATGGGCCAGCCGCCACTGCTCCAGTGTAATACATGCATGATTTCAAGGACAATCATCAATTATGATTATAATTAAATATTATGATTAGAGGTGTATTCACTGAATATGTCCATTGTTTCTGTATTAATAATCTAACATTTACTGTGCATATGTTACTTAATGTTAACAATTGAGAATTGAGAATTGTTTATTAGAATGCTTAAATTAACTCTTTGTTATTCCCTTCATTGCACTCTTGTTTTATGTCCAGGCTATGGTAAGTGGATTCTTATCTTAGTAATTCAGTGCTCACGTGTTGGATTTTTTACCTCATCCTTGTTTGTAATTTTCTTTACTTTTCATTACCGTATTGAAGAAAGAGATTTTTAAAGTCAATTTCATGCATAGTAAAAATCAACTAATTGTCAGTCATCTATAATGTGACCGAATAGCAGTTACTCTAAACTGGCCAGTATAGGAGGCCATTGATATAAAAAAATGGAATGACTGCGATAAGCAGGCTAGAGCTTCGATTTTGATTTTCACCTGGCTTGACTCCTTGGCTGAGAAATAGATCTGAAATTGTCTAGTCTATTGCTGGATCGGCTGCACGACAAATAATGTGTAATGGAGAGTGGTAATGATTTTTTTGTTGTTGTAATAGATGCAACACGGAAGAAGAAAATTAAAGCTACCCACTCTGTACTTTATGTGCACCACTGATGCTTAAAAAAAGTTAATGTGTACTTTATGACTACTTAATGAAACTTTACACTCGATGAAAACCATTTTATGAAAACCATTCCCCTAAGACAACATTTTTTTTTTTACCATTTTCAAGTAAATTGCGCTGTTGTGATGCTAAGTTTACTACATAAACTGGGTTGTGTTTTGCATTGTCTGTGATTGGTGGAGGCTGACCTGTCATGTTGCTTGTCATGTGGCGTGCAGTCCCTTGTCCAGTCCAGGAAGGCTGGCATCACCTCTGCCCTGGCCACAAGGACCTCCCTGAAAGATGAGGACCTGGTGAATACATTGCATTTATTTCTTCTGCTACTGACTGACATGGAGCGAATATAAGTCCTCATGCATACTTTTCATGAACATTGATTTTTGCCCCCAATAATCGTAGGGCACAGTGAAATGTGTTGCTTTGAGCACTTGTTTTGTCTCTAATAATAATAATGATGATTCATGGGCTTGGAGGGGCAAACAATAGAATCTGTCTTATCTAAATACTAAACGGTGCTCCATCTTTGTATGTTATTTTTCTTTATACCTAAAAAAAGTAATTCTTTCTTGCTCTTTATTTTCGTTCTCTTACATTCATCTCATGCCTCATGTCTGTCTGCCTGCCCTGCTGCAGAAGAACCATGTCTACAAGAAGACTCTGCAGGCTCTCGTTTACCCCATCTCCTGCACCACCCCCCACAACTTTGAGGTGTGGACGGCCACCACACCCACCTACTGCTACGAGTGTGAGGGGTTGTTATGGGGCATTGCACGGCAGGGCCTGAAGTGCTCGGAGTGTGGTGTCAAGTGCCACGAGAAATGCCAGGACCTGCTCAATGCAGACTGTCTGCAACGTGAGTCACGGTCTTACCATATATTGTCGTGGCTAGGGAATTCTGGGAAATCAGAAGAGTCCATCATCTATTCCATAGCGTAGTATCACACTGAAATCCAGTGTTTATAGCTATACTGAGAAGCATAAATATGTAAAACAAATAAGGGCAGTCAGATTGTTAATGCCGTATGTCAAGAATCATTTGTTTCTTCTGGATTTCTTATGTATAAATGTAAATCTCCGGAGCATTCTAGACTTGCCTAGAAGTAACTGCCAGAGGTTATTTGTTTGTAATATCGCAGGTTACACACTAATACAGAATAACTGATACTTAAATTCATTTGTGAATTTGTTTAAAAATTGTTTTATATGTCTGGATGAATCTGTTGTTAAATTACTTTTTTGAGAATGCAGTTTGTGTGTTTAATTTTCATAATGAATGTGTATTCATAATATTAAATATTAAGTAGTATTACAATTATAGCTACAATTTATAGTGTTTATTGTTTAAATGTCAAAATTGTTTTCTGTAGGCCTTGATTTGGATGGCATGCACAAACAATTGTCAGCTTCATTTGTCACAGATGCATTTATTTGTTTGTTTGTTTTTGTAGGTGCAGCAGAGAAAAGTTCCAAAATGGGAGCTGAGGATCGCACCCAGAGCATCATAATGGCCATGAAAGACCGCATGAAAATCCGTGAGAGAAACAAACCGGAGATCTTCGAGGAAATCCGAGACGTGTTTGGTGTTAGCAAACTTGCCCATGCCCAGCAGATGAAGGCTGTCAAGCAGAGTGTGTTGGACGGTACCTCAAAGTGGTCAGCCAAGATCACAATCACCGGTAAACTGATTTCACTAACAAAACTGAATATACACCATACATATGCAATGCTGTTGGATATACAATTTCATACAATCTGTAGACTTCTAAGGACATGATTTACCATTGCAGTTATAAACATACTGGGGGCCCAGGCATACATAACTATGTGCATGTGGTACACACGTGTGGTTAGTCATGTTTGGGTACATGTTGTAATAGCGATTGCACTGTGCTTTAAGTCACAATGGTGAAACAGATGGCAATTAAAATCAATAACTAGAAAACATATGAAGTTTTATTGTGCTTGCCATAATTCATTATTGTTATGTCAACTGAAAAAAACATCATCATACATAAAAATGTGCAATTGCAGCTTAAGGTGTGCAGATAACATTTATTTTCACAGAAAAGGCAATATTCCAACTACAAGATCCTGAATTTTGCGGAGGAATAATGTAAAGATCTGGAACAAACAGTCCTGCTTTTGTCCTCATGACATTTCATAATGGTAGCTGTGTAGCATTTCCATGTATTCAGGCAAGGATTCAGCAAGCAAGACATTAAGTGCAATTTGTAATTTTGTCTTATTCTATACTTTCCCCCAGTCTTAATTTCCTATACGGTACTTTGTATTTTATCTTAATCGTTAGGTCATATTTACTAAACTTCAGGTATGCAGTGGATTTTAAAATATCTTTTCTGAAAAAAAAATCAAATTCCTATCATTAGTTTACAGGAATTAAGTAATATATAAGATATACTTATAATATTTAGGGTATGAATATACTAATATATGGGCTTGAACTACTATAATGGGAAATGCTTCCTTTCTGTTGAATTGGAGTCCTTGCTGATATAAGTGAAACAACTTGTTTTCAACAGTGGTGTCTGCTCAGGGTCTGCAGGCCAAAGACAGAACGGGTTCGAGTGATCCCTATGTAACAGTGCAGGTGGGGAAGACTAAGAAGCGGACCAGGACTATTTACGGAAACCTTAACCCAGTCTGGGAGGAGAAATTTAACTTGTGAGTCACATCCTCCGTTGCCAACACATTGAGATTTCACGCCACAGAATAATGGTTAACCCTAACCTTTTAATATATGTCACACCTATTAGAGTACAGTACTGTTGCTAGTCTTGCAGTGATGATTTTTTCCAAACTTTCTTTAGCGAATGTCACAACTCCTCAGACCGGATCAAGGTTCGTGTGTGGGATGAAGATGATGACATCAAGTCTAGAGTGAAGCAACGACTCAAGCGAGAGTCTGACGACTTCCTGGGACAGAGCATCATCGAGGTCCGCACTTTATGTGGAGAGATGGATGTCTGGTACAACCTGGGTGAGTGTTCAGTCTACTCAGCTTCTAAATCAACTATGCCATATGTTTGATGAACACTGTGGCTTTCATGTGTCCACGTAGTTAGTTCAAGTTGAAAGTTCCTTCCATTGTATGGAGATACTTGTGGGATCCTTAGATGAATTGTGCTGGTTATTGGGAAAGATAGTCAGCCTCTTCTCATTAGGGCGTCACAGATGACAATGGAGATGGTGTGGGTTGGTGGCACTGATGCTAATGTCATGGTGTGGGTTGTTGATAGTGGATCCTTAGCTGAAAGACAGATAATTGGTGTTTTACAAGTATATCATTTTACAATGAATAATGTTAATGAAATTTGACGTATGTCATTTGTTTGATCTTAATGATAATCGTAAAAATTACTCTTTTTTTTCTGCTCAAACTTAGTAATTCTATTAGGATTTTATGTACTGTTTGGTTTTATATTTATAAATAAATTTATAGCAGTGTTTAACTAGAAAGTTAGTATGATTGTGACTTGTCCTACCTTGTCATTTAATTAAAAGCAACATTGGAATTTAATTTTGCCGGGCACTTACTTGATTACTGGTGTAGCCTCATACCTGCAGAGGTTCAGCTTGGATTCCTGTCGCTGGGTCTGTGAGTGTAGACTTACAGTAGCATGTTCTCCCTGCATTAATTTCCTTTGGCTTCATTGTTTTCCTCCCATAGCTAAAGAACGTGTACTTAGGTGATATGGTGCAAATTGCCCAAAGCATTTGCCCTGTGATGGATAACTCTGTGTTCCTGGGGTTCATCTCCAGTGTCACGTGATCCGGTACTGGAGAAGTAGTTGGATGGATGGAATTTTGCCAGTTAAAATAGTAGCACATTTCACCGTGGCTATATAGGTCTCGAGTTATGTGTGTACTCAGTGTCTAAACACAGGAAGGAATCACCACATACTTAGAGGTGCCTTAGAGTAGGCATGACAATCATCATTATCAGTCAACCACTATGCTGTCTTTTTCTTTGCCTATTAACTTTGGAGGACTAGACACACTTTTTAAATATGCTCTCCTAAAACAAGCAGAGCAGAAAATGTTGATGTATTTACTAAATCTTTCTAGTAATTTCTAGTAAGTTCTATAACTTCCCAAAAGCCATGCAATTTTTTTCAGAATGTATTATTTAATAATTTTCTAGTTCAGGAAATGTGGCTCAGTTAATTAATTGTAGATGTTTATCAAGCATTCTAAATACTTTTCTATTTACAATTAATAAAACTAATCCTACTTTTTTGTGAAATTTAAATTTAAAGGAAGGTAACAGAATTCAGCCTATGTCAAAGATGGCACAGTAAAGGTCATTCAGAGCAGGTTAAATCAAACTGATCATCTATATAACTGGAATGTTCATTTGGAAAGCCAGTAAACATTAGTAGTACCTTTTATTTGATCACTTTATTAATTTATTAAGTTGCTTCATTTCCTAATATGGATAGTTTATACTTTGCACAAGCAGTGGTTGTGATATATGATTGGAAGAAGATATTCCTCAGCTTTCCATTAATATCAAAAAGGTACACTAGCTTTCCCCACCCACTGAAGCACAGTGAGAATGTAACATATTTTGCCATAGTATGGATTGCCAGAACCGGCTGTCTCAATGTGCTTCTGAAGTCCAAATCCCCTGTGAGGCTGGCTTTGGTACCTGCTGTCTTTTTCTGTCCCACACTCTCTTTCTCTTTTTTATTTCTCGTATTCCCCATAAGAGAAGCTCTTCCTTCAGCATCCTTGAGTCTGGCCTTTCGGTGTACTTTCTTCCCCCTACTCTCCTTGCTCTGTACCACACCTATGACTTAATGATCATTCATCCTTTCCATCGGTGCCCAATCTGCCGCCTTCCCTTCTACACAGGAGTAGCTCTCCGCACCTGTACATTTCTCTGGGTTGCTGCTCTCACAGTATTTTTTTTCTTCTTTTTCTTCATTATTTGCGGTACTTACTATTACTATTTCTTGCCATTGTTGCTTTTTTTTTTATTTCATCCATCATCTTCTTCATGATTTTTCTGTCTCTTCCTTCTCCCTTTCATCGAGTGTACAGGGAATATTTAACAGTCATTGTGAAAATGTAACAAGCAAGGCAAAGACAGGTAAATATTGCAGTTTGGACGAGCGTGGGAATAAAAAGAACGATTACTGAGAAGGTATCATTGACTGATCATTTTTTAATGTGACTGTAAAGACACCGATCTCTAATTTAGCCTTAATTGAAGTCTGCTTCATTTTATCTGCAGAGAAAAGGACAGATAAGTCAGCCGTGTCAGGAGCCATCAGGCTGCAGATCAATGTGGAGATTAAAGGAGAGGAGAAGGTGGCTTCCTACCATGTTCAATACACTTGTCTACATGAGGTAAAACAATGTTCACCTATGGCACTGCCATGCCTAGTTTTCTGTTGTGCGCACACTGAAACACACACATACACAGGAGGACATGGTATACCTAATTCACTCAGTGCCATTTCTTAAGTACTGCTGTCTAGCCGAAATAAAGAACTGGACTTCTGTTTCTGCAATGACTGCATATATTATTTTTCTCACTCTCATCTAAAAACAATGTAGGTTGTTTTTTAAACTGTAAATCTAATAACATTTTTTTTTATAAAATCCACTTTCATACTGTATACACAGTATTATAAGGATATTTCATTTGTTGTTTCTGGTTGAGTATCAGTGAATAGTGCTTCCATTTGTGTCGCTCGGTGAGTTCTGTGTGCATTATGGGTAAATGGCACAGACTGTCTTTTATCCCAGAATATATTCCACCACTGCACTGCTGTCGAGGGCCAGGGTATGGTAAAGATTCCGGACGCTCATGGAGATGATGCCTGGAAGGTGTATTTCGATGAGGTGGCTCAAGAGATCGTGGACGAGTTTGCGATTCGTTACGGCATAGAGTCTATATACCAAGCTATGATGTAAGTTTTTGAAACATCCCATTGAACAAAGTTACGTCCGAAGTAGGTCTTTTAAATGTCTTTTTGAACATTGACAATGCATCCCCTGAGAAGCCAGAATGAAAGGTTTAAGCTCTTATGACGTCTTCAGAACGTGCAATATTCAGTCCTGCACCTGTCTTGCATGTTCCACAGACGTCCAAAAAATCTCCAAGCCAGACATTATAGACTATATAAATGCAAATGTGATTAAAGAAGAATAGCAACAGTATAAAATTAAATTTTAGATGCTGCTCACTGGTGAGTTGTGCTATTTTTAGAACAGGTCCGCGGGCAACTCATGTGGTCCTTGGGGGCATCGTGGTCCCCGCGGGCACCATGTTGGTGGCCCCTAATCTACGACATCTGGGACTAGGACCCCAAATGCTGTTTTTTGAGTCTAATGGTTCATCATATTTTCATCTATTTCACCTTTGTTTCTAAATACCCGGCTTTTACCTTGATTTTTCAAAATGAAGTATGTATTACTTGTATTGCCAGGTCAATCCAGCATTTATCATGTATTAATGCATTTATAAGTCAATGGATGAATCTGTTAAGGCGAGGTGCTTTAACAGCACCCTTTTCGTCCTTGCTTTCCACAGACATTATGCTTGCTTATCATCCAAGTACATGCTATCCGGTGTGCCTGCAGTGATGAGCACACTGCTGGCCAACATAAATGCCTTCTATGCCCACCCCACAGCCCCCACCAATGTATCAGCCTGTGACCGATTTGCTGCTTCCAATTTTGGGGTATGTCCTCTTACTTCTGGTCAAGACCACTGGAAATACACTTCATATAATTGGGTAAAAAAAGCAATTGGCTTGCTTCAGCCATGGATGTGTTTAGAGGGGTTGTTGTACCCACTCAATGTTTCAATTATGTAGTAACCAAATATGATTAGATAACTCACCTATTCTCTTGATTTTTTTGTTATGTTTTGTTCCTAACCTATAGGTTCCAAACCTATACAAAAGTAGTTCATTTAGCAAATTTTATGGGAATCTCATTATAACCTCTAGCTATATCTGTTCATTGAAGGGCACAGTATTTTCTGACTTAAAAACATTACAGCTGGCAAGTAATACATTCCAGTGGTTTATCATGTAAAATTAGTGATAGTAGCTGTAAAGAGAAGTGAGGGGGGGTGGTTATTTAAGTCCAAGCTACGAATGTACATAGCATATAACACTGCTGGTTATGCAGTTTGTTTTCTGAGTTTTTCAGCCATAATTGTTTGCCATCAGTTGCAAAAATGCTGTACCATGAGGGCCAGGGACCCATACCTCAAGCTCACTGCCTGTTTATCATCCTCCCTGCATTTTATTTCTGTCCTTATTTATTGACAGAAAGAGCGGTTTGTCAAGCTTCTGGATCAGCTGCACAATTCTCTTCGTATTGACCTCTCATCATACCGTGTGAGTAAAGCACTGATGCTCATAACGATATTGATTGCCTGAATCCCCTTTAATGGGCAATCAAAAGAAGCATTTGATGAGAAGGTTGTCTACCAAGCAAAAAACAAATCTATATTAAAATATTAATAAATATAATGGGTTATTGTAATAAATGCATGTTTAGTGAGCTTATTATCAAATGTGCCTGGCCTGGTTTTTTGTTTGGTAACACAAAAAAATACTGTTTGCTTTAAATAATTTTTTCCTCCAACAGAATAATTTCCCTGTTAGCAGTAAGGAACGCCTGAAAGATCTGAAGTCCACAGTAGATCTTCTGACCAGCATAGCCTTCTTTAGGCTAAAGGTCCGTGTCATGTCCGAGTGTAAAGCAGCAACTATGATGACTAAGATGACTGATAATGAACTCTGTATGCTATGTTTGTCTCTATAATGCTTGTATCTTTATCTATAATGTGTGTGTGTGTGTTCTACTACTGTTAAGATCAGAAGTGCTGTTCATTCTGTCTAATTAGGTGCTTGAGCTTCAAAGCCCACCACGGGCTGGACAGGTTGTAAAGGACTGTGTAAAAGCTTGCCTTAACTCCACCTATGAGTACATCTTCAATAACTGCCAAGAACTCTACAGTCGCGAGTATCAGACCCCAATAGACCCTGTGAGTACCATTGCAGTTATGTCTTTAGTCAGTATCTCTCTATACTCAACTGTGTTTAACTGTGTATAACTTATGATATCGCCGACCAGTTACAGCCTCCCGCTTTTTTCACTATGCCAGCATGTGTCTATAGATCCATTGCTGTAGAATGTGTCTGCTTGTTCTTGTCAAGGCCATTGAATTTTTACAACGTTTCAAAATCTGTCTAATCTTTTTTATTTCATTTCAACCTTTATTTTTACTTGGAAATACATTGAGGGTAACCCTCATTTACAATGGAGCGACATGTTTACAGTGCAAAGGGATTGAAAAAAATGCAATTAAATGTGCCTGTTATATGGCAAAGTGGCAGCACTATGACTTCACTGCTTCAGGCTGAAGATTTGATTTAAAGTCCAGTTTCCATATTCTTCCCTTGTACGTGCGGGATTTCTGTGGTATCCTGTGTGTGTGTGTGTGTGTGTGTGTGGACCCTATTATTGACTGACATCCCAGGGTGTCCTTTGCCATCTGCCCTTTGCTGTCATCCTGCTTTGCATCATGGGTTATGGAAGAGGAATGGAACTACCCACATACTTATTTGTCAGTAACAGGTTTGACTGTTTTTGGGTCCTGTTTTTACATGGAAAATGTTTCATAAATATGTTTCCAGAAGAAAGAAGAAGAGACAGTAGAAGAGCAGGGCCCCAGCATCAAGAACCTGGACTTCTGGCCAAAACTCATAACCTTGATCGTGTCCATCATTGAAGAGGACAGGAACACCTATACTCCAGTGCTCAATCAGTCAGTGCACTTTCATTCAGTATTCTGCTATTTGAAGCTGTGCAGTCACTTTTCTCTTATACTGGTCTTTCTGCTCCAGGTTTCCCCAGGAACTAAACGTTGGGAAAGTCAGTGCAGAGGTTTTATGGACACTGTTTGCCCAGGACATGAAGTATGCCATGGAAGGTGAGGTCCTATGTTCAGTGATGTGTTTTGCTGTGCCTCTGAATTTGCTGCAGATGCAGACAGCCAAGGGCCCATGCAGGGTCACCAACCATCCACACAAACTGTTGAATCAATTTCATATTATTCTGCTAGGTGGAAGAAACCGCAAGTGCTTCGGTGTGTATACTTAGAGAACCATGAATATTTCTGTGCAGGTTTTGGTAAAAAGTCATATGAACCCCTTCATATCGCACTGGAAATCTTCCAGAATTCTTCATGGCTGTTATATATTTACCCTTGTACAGACTGTCCATGTCCACACTCTTCATTTTTTTTGTCGAGATTCAGATATTTCTGTCATTTTGCCTGTTGTTTTTCAGTTCTGGATAGCATTGACCGTTACCATGGAAAAAACGGTAAGGTGTTAGTTATTGTAAAAAAATTCCCATATACAGTAGCTGAGGACAGTGCAATCCATTTGTAGATAGGTTAATAACTACAATTTATAGTAGGTATGTATTAATAGCTGTAATGTAATTAGTGTGGTCATCATCAGGGTTCAATTGCTTATATATTAAGTTTCACAAATTTATTGGTAACCCGGGAAAACCTGCCGACAAAGCATCAGCAAGGTCTCTAAATCATACAAAACACTGAGAAAAGAAGATCTGTCACTGAAAATGCTGAGAAGCTGTGCTTCCAGCATCATAACACTAATCTGGGATTATTATAAGTATTACAGCTCCATGTCTACAGTCGATTCCTGAAAAAATGCTTGTATGGGTAGGTATGTGTATGTATGTATACAGTATATATATATATATATATATGTATATGTGTATACATATATATATATATATATATATATGTATATGTGTATATATGTATATAGGTATATATAAAGAGGTTAGTCATGCTTGGCATGAGAGGCTGACAACCAGTATTGGATGGATATTTTGCCAAAACAACCAACACAGACCAACATCTACCTGTCCTACACCAAACAAAATGAAAGTGTGAAAAAAAAGACACTACACTACACATAACTCCGTAAGTGACCCATCAACATGCACCAGGAGAGTTGGTGAGTGGAGATTTACAGCAATGTACACAAGCAATGAACAGTGATACCCAAATACACCAAATCTAAATAGACTAGAATCAATGTGACTATAATCTAGAAAGGGTTAGGAAAACTCAAAGCCAGTAATTACACTACTACGTAACATAAAATAGTTGTTAGTGATTGAAATATTGAGAAATGCTGTATTATACCACGTTATGAAACAAACTATACTGGAAATCCCACTCCAGAAGTGATGTTATACATGTAGCCATCTTTAATAGATCATTATCAGCACTATTAAACAGTCTGCTGAATCCATTTTGGTTTATTTTCTTACTGCATTGTTGTTTTTTTCTGTTCTGATTTTCATTTTACTTGTCCCATCATAAGTTGTGTTGCCTTTTTTTCTCACTTCCATTTGCTTTGTCGATGTCTTTTTTTGTTTCTCCGTTGATGTGTGTGTTCTAGCCCCAGCCACATTCCGCATACGTAAACAAGAATTTTATGCTGGTAAGAGAATCGTGTGTGTATTTACTGTCCTTGTGTGTCCCACCCACCATCCATCCATTATCTATAGCTGCTTATATAATGCAATGTCACAGACAGCTTGCAGCTTATCCCAGGATGGACCAGGCATGCCATCCTGGTGGAGATTCCAGGGCATATGGCTAGATACTTCAAAGATCCACATTTACATAGAAATATCATCTGGAAGATCTGAAATATTTTTGTTAACTGTGCAAATGTAACATTTTGTATTCTGTTGTTGTATGTGCCATATGTGATACAAGTTCTAACTGAACAAAACCTTTCTTGGGGCACTGTGGACAGGAATGTCAGTCTCTTAGGATTTTAGGTGGGACAGAATAGTGAAAGAGGTGATGGCAAACAGCACAGAGATGCTCTTGGAGCTGGGCTTGTGCTTTGCAGTTAGGTGTTATTTCATTTAGTCTGTACCTCCCCAATGTGAATTTCACAAACCAACTGCATACACGTAAGCAGAATCTCGGGATTTATCTCTGTGGGTGTCACTGACTGAATACTCTCATCTAATGTCAATCATTGCAAGTGATTTACCAAGAACATTGATTATTATGCATTGCCTTCACAGCTCATTTCCTCAAGCTGTTAATTCCCTCTCAGTTACAGGCCTAGATATATGCTTAGTGTAAAACAATCAGCCTAAGTCCCAAGGTTTTTGTTATCGGCAAAAGCAGCCTGTGAGAACTGCAAAAACCATTTTGATCTGGCTGGAACCCTTTGCTTCTTTCAAATTTACTGGCTTTTATGGAACATAATGTCTAGAAGCCTGACATATCAGTAAGATGGAAGCAAAAGGCTCTCTCCTCTCGTATATATATATATATATATATATTTAGCCTAATACTTAATATTCTCACGTCCTCTTCTGGGTTACCTTTAGGCACAGGGCTGGTGATCAGTCACCATGGAAACACCAAACAACACAAAAGATTCTGCAAGTGACAAGCTGTAGAGGGTAGCTGAAGAACATTTTGTAGTCCCTGTATTGCTCCTGCTGTTTCCTTCTTCGATATAGCGGTATCTGCGTTCTTATGAATGCTACAACCTAATCAAGGAAATAAGATACGAGCAGAAGTGAGAGAGGATCTTTTGTTTCCGTCTACAGAGCATGAAAAACATAAGCTGTGCAAAAGTGCTGACTACATGAACCTGCACTTCAAGGTGAAGTGGCTGTACAACGAGTACGTGAAAGGCCTGTCAGCTTTCCAAGGCATTGTCCCAGATTACCCATCGTGAGTGACCAGCGTACCGTCACCGCGCTCATAATATCTGACCTGTCACCCTCTGATTCAGGGTAATATGTGGGAGTTTGGATCGTGCTTCTACTATCTCTGCGTCACCTTCCCAACACACCGATTGTCATGCCTAAGGGACAGCCTTTCTCTCCCACTCCAAATCTCTTTTTCTCCTGCATTATTAGAATCTATTCTCCTCTCTCTCATTTTTCCACCCATATTATTCTTTTCACACAAAATTCCAATATATTATATCGATTGGTTTTCGAATTTGCATGCATATATAAATAATATTAATGTTGGTATAAAAAGAAATCTTGAATGGATGTGTCATATGTGAGGATTGGAGGGGCCACCGCCATGGACTGGCCATCAGGAACTTCGGGAATTTTCACGGTGGGCCAGTTTTGTGGGGGCCAGTCTTCCTCACAACCCAGCATTGTTTAGCCTGCAAACCAGGGGTGGCCAACCTGTATATCAGTCTTGCTGTGTTTCCAGATCAATCACAGGAAATTAATTAAAATGGATAATGCTTTATTTTATTTGTGGCCGACTGGTTGATTGCAATCATCAATACATAACAAGCCCCCCCCCCCCCCCCCAAGTTATCTGCAAATTCCTGGTCTGCTTTTTATATGATATATAAATATATACTCTTTTTGTTGCCAGTCTGCCCCAGGAGGGAGATATGGGTATTCAGAGGGTGAGGTGTACCCTGGGAAAATAATCCTCTCCACTCACCTGCAATCAGTTAATTTCTGTTTTTCCACCAGTGAATGAGAGACTGAAAGAAACGTTGCAGGTCTAGCATCCTACCATTCTGCTTTCTGCCTTTGATGTTACATTGGGATAAAATGCTGAATTTTCTATCACTGGTTCAGCTGCACAAGTCTTTCGTGTGTTTTTTCTTCTTCTCCTCTTCTTCTCTCTGCAGGTGGTTCTTGCCCTTTGTGTTGCAGTGGCTGGCCGAGAATGAAGATGTGTCCATGGATTTTATGCGTGGGGCTCTAGAGAGGGACAAGAGGGAGGGAGTAAGTGACCTCATGGAAACTACTATTCTGAATGCTGAAAGCACTGATTTAGTTCTGATTGTTCTTATCGTGTTTGTGAAGAGAAATACTTCTGTTCTGACAATATTAGAACTTATTATGAATGGTGATTTCGGTCAAGTATCACACATTTCATTGCTTTTTGCATTCCTTGTCTTTTTTTATGTCTTGTACCACCCCTGTCAGTTCCAGAAGACTTCAGAGCATGCTTTGTTCTCCTGTTCTGTGGTGGACATTTTCACGCAGCTCAATCAGAGCTTTGAAATTATAAAAAAATTAGACTGTCCAGATGCCACAGTTGTGGCGCACTATAACAGACATTTCTCCAGGGTAAGTATATCTCTCACCTTCAAAGAGTTGGTGATTTCACCAGCACTGTCAGCTGCTGGTCCCATTGTTCCAGCAGAGCTTGCAGATTAGTTACGTAAAATCCTAACTGCAGAAAGGACAATTTGATGAAAAGCGATAATGGCTTTCACATTAGCATTACAGGAAATTGAATTGTTCTCATTGAATAACAATAAGCAATAATAAAGACATCTGTGACACTGTTAAATGGCTCCACATAGGTATTAAACTTCAAGGAAAGTGTATTTTCAATTTATTTTTCAATGTGGGTCCATTAGTTCATAATTAATTTTGTAAAGCGGATCTACTGGATATCGCAAAGAATTATTGTTGGTTATGTCTGCAATTGCATTGACTGTCATCGCGTCGTTAACTATAAGTGTCACCTAGGTTAAGATGTATAATGATATTAGGTTCTTACCAATAGTATTTAGTATAATATGGAAGTGTCCTTTATAACGTTTTTTTCTACCTTAAAGACCATAAGTAAAGTGCTGCTACAATATTGTGAAGTCCTCACCAAGAGCTTCCCCTCCTACTGTGAAAAGGAGAAGATTGTAAGTCCTGAATCTCTGAGCAGAAAAGTTGTGAAAATGGTGAAATTTGATGGGATTTAAAAACTCACTGCTGTCGCTTTTACTTTACAGCCCTGCATTCTTATGAACAACGTCCAGCAGCTGCGAGTCCTGCTGGAGAAGATGTTTGAAAGTATGGGTGGCAAACAGGTGAGCAAACACCTGCAATGCACTGTTACTGCTGAATGATAACAGTCCTTCTAGGCTTTGCTTATTTATACAATTTTTAGCATCAGTTTTAAAAAAGTATAAATATCAAAATAGACTTTTTCTGATTTAGAAAATTTGTTGATGGCTCAAAATAGTCTTCAGCTTTTCATTTGTCCAGACTATGTGGAAATATATAAAATACAGCAAATTCAGTTTGTGGTTGTAAAGTTTTGTTACTTATGATGTGGTTACTTATAAAAGCACTTTGATTCAATCACTCCAGGAAGACCCTTACATGTACATTTACATTTAAATTTACAGTATTTGGTAGACGCCCTTAGCCAGAGCCCTTAGTCTTATCAGTGAATGCATTCTGATATTAATTCAATAGAACCCTGCTAATAATACTTGATGTCCCATTCCTTGTGGTTTGGGAATTTCAGGCTTTGCATATGCATTGTATACTGTACATATACTGATTTTGGATGTACTTGTTGGTGTACATTTCTTAGACGTTTAGGAGTTTCAGGAACAAAATTGCTGAGAATTTATCATAGGACTGAATTTGAAAATGTATCATTAATGAAAGTATTGTGGAGCATTTAGGAAGTAGTATGGTATAGAATCAAGAATACTTTTTACAGCAAGGCTTGTGAGTCAAAGAATCTTCATTTAAATGTAATTAAGACAACTTTTTTCCCCAAGGGGAGCCTGAATGGAACCAGCTGTAGTATATCCTCATCCAGAAGCTCGACATTATAATGCAAGCCTCACATTCAACATTCCCTTACATTTACTCCATTTGACACTCTTCCTCATTGAAAATAATGAGCCACTCAGAAAAATAACTGAGAAGCTCTTATCTAGAGGGGAAGGGAACCTTATTTGAGGTACGGTGTCAAGTCTGTGGTAGCTATATGACTGAGCTGGCTGGTGAAATATGGCCTTATATGCAGTCAGAGTCCCCACTGGAGCAGCGTACCTCTGGGTTTGTTTGGGATTACATGAGTAATAGGTTTTGTATTTGTTTTTGGTTTATTTATTTATTTTTGTAAATTTCTATTTTCAAAATTGAAATTGTCTTCTGTTTTTTACATATCATGGAGTGTACTGATATTGAATAGGAGCCAAGGGGATGTTTTGAATTCAGATTCGTTAAATCTTTGTTTATGCCTGATTTGCCTTCCCTGACAGTTCACTGCAGAGGTGGTAGGGGCAGGTATATAGCGGAAATGCACACATTGGAGTCTTTAGCACTGTCCTCATAATCACAGAGTTTTAAAGAATAAATCCCTGTCCAAATATGCACCCAAATATTTTGAGAATGCTCTCAGATATCGTACAGAGAATATCTTGCTATGAGACATATTTATTCCTATTATAGCTCAGCAGTTTTGCTATAGTCAAATGTTTGTATGTTCGGGGTGGGCTGGGAATTCAGTAAAGCCTTTAGGCTTGAGATTAACCTTAGAGTAGAGAAGTTGTAGTGTAGTACTATGTGGGTAGAATAAGAATTCTTGCTTGCAATAGCTGTTGTTTAATTAGAGTGTTTTTGTAAAACATAATGGCACTTTGCCTCACACTGTGCCCGCCTCCCCAGCTCAGCCAGTGTGTATGATTAATCAGTGCCAGTGCCATCACCTGCACTGGAGGAACCTTTGCAGCAGGGTTTCACTGCATCATCAAACAACAGTTTTGATGTGAGATTTTTGGTTTCTTGGCTTTCTTGAGTTGGAGGACGAAGAGGAACCAGAGGGATTTGAAGAAGAGGTGGGAGTGTGGGCATATCTTGTGCCAATGGATACCAGTGCACTCTGTATGCATTTAAAACTCTAGCTGTATTCTTACATTTAAAAAAGTTTTAACACTCGAGTGAGCAGCTTGAATAAATTTATAATTGAATATTGAATGGTTTATATGTTGTTAAATCCTACTGTGCTAGATACTACTGTAATGGAAGTCAATTGTTATTACCTAAGTCAGCTAAAGTCTTTTTTTCCTGGCCATTAGGGTGTCAGTGATGATGAAGGAAATAGTGGCACGGTAAGTATTTCTGCTTTCAAGCAAATGAATGCACATTAGGAAGTATGTGGTTGGCATTCAGCATTGGCATCAGGCATTGGCAATAGGTAAAAACATGCCTGGCGTGATCTAGAGGCATGTGTAACGGGGCGTGAGTTGAACCACGCAATTTTATGTGCATGCCTTGAAGCAGAAAGGCAGATTTTATCGCATCTGACAGCTAATCTGCAATACTTAGCATACGTAGCATAGCCATAATGAAAAATTTGACTGGTGAATGATGGTTGAGCTTTGACGCTGCCTTGTTCCTGTTTATCTGAACAAGTAGTCGCGGTTTTTATGCAGGCTGATGTTTTTTTTTTTCAACAAAGCAACACAGCAGAGAAAATATATGGATATTCGGCCTTCTTATGGTGTGGTATAGGGAGATAACTTTTCCTCAGGTTATAAACACTCAGGGGGAGGGGTGACTGAAAGCGACTTAAAGCCATAGTACATTAAAAATCTTCATTGCCTGTTGTACACTAAACAGCATTAAAGCCATAGGTGCAATGAGAGCGTTTTAACAAGCTCTTGTTCACCCAGCCCCCCTGTCACAGCCATAGCAGACACCTTGAAGTGTCCTCTGCATTCTCTGTCATTATTATTAAGAGCAGCCCAGGAATAGGAAATAAAAGGCATCAAATGGGTGAATAATATGCAACCCAGCTGGACCAGATATTACACAAATGTCTGACAGTTTATGTATAATGAATAAATAACGAGGAATATGATGTTTTAGAATATGGAGTGCTTTTTTGTCCAGCAGTAATTCATTATCAACTCAGGCATGGATTATTAAAGCAGGTGGCATGTTCTACTCAGACGTTTAGGACCTGATTATAAATAGTGAGTAACTACTGCCCTCTAATTTAGTCCAGTCACACACAGTCTTAGCCATATGTAACAGGTAGGCTAATATTTAATAATTTCTTTTTATAAACAAAATTACAATCATGAGCTTTGGTCAGATTCAGCCTGTTCCTCTAGCCTGCGTGGTCTATGAACAGGTAGCGTCAGGAGCTGTGGGAGGGCTGCTACTCCTGAAGGCTACTCAGCATGACTCAAATGCTGTGAAAACTGAACCGATTTGGATTCAGCACTGGAAACCTAATTAGGCGTTAAAGCAGCTTGTTAAGTTGCAGTGATACAAACTTTGGGCTGAATGCCAACTGAAATGCATGACTTCTGGTAGTTATGCCAGTCAAAGGTCAAGACCAGTAGTCTACTAAGAATAAAAATAATAGTTTTAGGAGCATATCCCTGAGATAATAGGGGACAAACTGGGGTACACCCTCGATGGGGTGCCAGCTTAATATACTCAGTGACAAAAAAAGTTAAGCATCCAGACAGAGTGGTGGAAATGAAATGAATTTGCACGTGATGAAAGGTCATGTAACTGTATCGCAATGATTATATTATCAGATCAAATGGACAACAGAGTTGGCAGTATGGGCATACTGCTGGTCCCATGTCAGGAGGGAATGGCACCCCCCCGGGCCCGGATACATGCAGTGATACAATGCGGAAGGGAGGATACAGCCATTGTATCCTCTCCTGTGGCAAGTCGCCCACAGCTGTTGTAACTGGCCCTCGAGATCCTCCAGATTGGCACTAGGTCTGAGTTGACGTCTGAGCTGATGCCACACATGTTTGATTGGGGAAAGATCGGGGGACCTGGCTGGCTACAGGAGGACCTCAGCATGATGCAGACAGTCCATAGACACACGTGCCATGTGTGGATGGGTGTTGTCTTGTTGAAAGACTGTACCAGGGTGCTGTCTCAGGAGGGGTAAGTCAAGCGGACACAGGAAGTCACTGACGTAGCGCTGTGCCGTCAGGGTCCCCTGAATCACTACCAGAGATGACCTGAAGTCATACCATATGTCTCCCCACACCATGATGCCAGGAGTAACGCCGGTGTTTCTCTCCACAACATTGGCAGGATTGGGCCTCTTCCCGCGGCACCGCCATACGCACACGACAGTCATCTGTGGTAATGCAGAACCGAGATCCATCACTGTACATGGTACGACGCCACTCGTCATCAGTCCATATCTCCTGGTTACGGCACCACTCCAAACGCAGCCGTCTCGCTGCTGGTGTTAACGGCAGCCTATGTATGGGACGGTGAACTTGTAGTATGGCTGATGCCAGTCATCGAGACGCAGTACGGGATGACATGGGGTGTTGTATAAAGTGCAGTACCTACGTCTGGATGGCAGGCACAGATGTCCTGAGGTTCTGTAAAGCTTCTGTAAAGGTTCTGTTAGATTCTCCATTGGCGTGGTCTGTCTTGGGCGACTGGAACCTTCACGACGTGTCTGGATTCCCTCATGTGGCCATTGGTTCCAACGTCGGGCAACTGTGACATCTGCATACCCCACATGCCGGGCAACTGCACGATACGACCATCCGGCCTCATGCAAACCCACAATGTGACCCCTATCAAACTCCATCAAGTGCTGGTAATAGTGTCTAATGTGGCTACTGGGCATCCTCTGTGTCTGGTGACTAGATGTGCCAGCCCCCTGCAAATCGAATCATTTAAATACCCATCACTGGCTTGCACGTGTACCAAATTACATCCAAATCGGACCATTACTTCTCGGTGTTCAACTTTTTTTGTCGCTGAGTGTATTTATCACCATGCTAAATACAGGCAGTAGCTGGGTTAAGAATGTCCAATTTACGGACAACTTGCACTTACAAACAGAATGCCATGAAGTCTATTATATCAAAAATACAGATTAAATAATATAGTTTGTACTAAGGAACGCATACACTTCTTTGTGACACTCCTGAAAACATTGCTTGGTTTTAGCGGTGTGTCGGCTCGAGGTACGGTACAGTACAGTACTGTATGTAGTTAATTTTATTATTACTGAAAATAAGTATTGTTTGTCAGGGAAGATGACTGGATAAGGAGGGCACTTTTG